ATTTTCATGGCTTAATTCATGCTATTTTCTTTATTATACTGTCTAACTATCTCTTTAATGTTCTTCGGCATTCATTTTCTTCCTTCGGATCTCACTATTATTTGTTCTGTCATGTGTGCGTCCTATGTTATTTTTTATGCTTTATCGGTATGATGAAACTATTGATCCCTGATTTGCTGGAGAATTTCACTGATTAAATGATACAAGTAAATAAAAATCACCCTACAGCTTAGTTCTTAAATGATAGATATGAAAATATGCCTTTTACGGCGGCAAAGTATGCTACAGTCTAGAGGAAAAGACCAAAACAATACATCATCTTTGGCTTTAGAATCAAAGTCATACATATTCTTTCATATGGAGCACTAATAGTACATTTACTTTAACAAAGTGGTGCACATTTAGTCATAACACTGAAAAAAGTCCAAAAACATACATTATCTTTGGATTTAGATTCAAAGTCATACATATTCTTTCATATGGAGCACTAATAGTACATTTACTTTAACAAAGTGGTGCACATTTAGTCATAACACTGAAAAAAGTCCAAAAACATACATTATCTTTGGATTTAGATTCAAAGTCATACATATTCTTCCACATTGAGCACTAATAGTCCATTTACTTTAACAAAGTGGTGCACTTTTAGTCATAACACTAAACACATTTTAATTTTTAACAGAAATCTAAGATCTGACAAAATATTTGTTCCCTTTATTTTCTTGTTTACCGAAAGAAATAAAGATGACAGATTTATCTAGATAGCAAATAGTAAATATACATAGAATTTATTTACTATTTATCTATTTACTATACGTAAAATATATATTTTACTAAGAAATGTTAAACACCGTTAATTTTTATTTGCAATGATTTTTATCTAGATAACCTCAAATGTTATCTAGATTTTTTATTATATACATAATATTTACTATACGTTGACATAAAATAAATATACGTAAAATCATTGCCGAGAGTAAAATAAATTTTATTACTAAAATAAATATACATAATATATATTTATTAGATTTTTTTATTTTATGAGAGTCAGCGTATAGTAAACATAATATTTATTTTTATTTTATGTATATTTACTATACGCTGACTCCCATAAAATAAAAAAATCTAATAAATATATATTATGTATATTTATTTTAGTAATAAAATTTATTTTACTCTCAGCAATGATTTTACGTATATTTATTTTATGTCAACGTATAGTAAATATTATGTATATAATAAAAAATTTAGATAACATTTGAGGTTATCTAGATAAAAATCATTGCAAATAAAAATTATCGGTGTTTAACATTTCTTAGTAAAATATATATTTTACGTATAGTAAATAGATAAATAGTAAATATATTCTATGTATATTTACTATTTGCTATCTAGATAAATCTGTCATCTTTATTTCTTTCGGTAAACAAGAAAATAAAGGGAACATATATTTTATCAGATCTTAGATTTCTGTTAAAAAAATAAAATGTGTTTAGTGTTATGACTAAAAGTACACCACTTTGTTAAAGTAAATGGACTATTAGTGCTCCATGTGGAAGAATGTGTATGACTTTGAGTCTAAAGCCAAAGATAATGTATGTTTTTGGGACTTTTTTCAGTGTTATGACTAAAAATGCACCACTTTGTTGAAGTAAATGTACTATTAGTACTCCATGTGAAAGAATATGCATGACTTTGATTCTAAAGTCAAAGATGATGTATTGTTTTGGTCTTTTCCTCCTACAGTCTACAAGGTTAAATCGGTCCTTTAAAGGATGACCTCTTATACATGATTTGTTAGTTCAATGGGATGCATTAGCAATTGATGATAGGATCAAGGCTCTTTGGTTCTAATGGATCGTTGGTTTGTTTATATAAGACCACATTTTACTAGAATTGTCCATTTGACTAATTATGTGAAGTTTTAAAAGACTTTCTGCTTTCTATAATCTTTTGTTGATTTGCATGGTACTTGAGAAATATGTTTTATATTTCTCAGCATTAAAAGCACTTTTATTACAAATGAAGAGTATTTTCTATTTAAATTTTAAACTTTAGTACAAGTCTATTAGTTCACTGATTTTTATATAAATCTGACGTAAATAGCAGCTTAATGACTTGAGTTATCCCTTGATGGAGGAATATTCTTTTCTATTTTTTTTAGTACCATCACGTGGACGTGGTTGACACTGATCTTAGCTGAAGAACTAGAATTTTTCTTGCTAAAAATGCAGGAAATCAACTACCGTTTGTTAAAGAATGAGTAATTCTTGATAAGGTACCACTAATATTACTATATATGTACATTATCAATATATATATATATATATATATATATATATATATATATATATATATATATATATACACACATAATACCTCTATAAAGTTTTATTTGGCTTAAAGTTTAGTCCGTTGGAAAATTAGTAGTTGTATTACGTCCTATTTTGAATCGAGCGATACTAAACAATAGACATAATCAGAAAAGAGATATTAATTGTCAAGGAATACATACGAAGTCCACATTTTTCTTGCAATGTAGATTTATTTTTATTTTATTTTTTATTGCATCTTTTTTAATGAAGTCCATATTTTTATTGCACTTGCTCTTAAATCCGATTGACCTGGAGTACCTTTTAAAACTTGTCGCCTTTGACAACACTGATAAAGACAATCATTTAATATCATATCCCTTTTCTCTATATTCTTTTAAACTTCTTGACTTTACCGATCTTTTAGGAATGTTCAAGATTCATTCCCACTTAGAATTTATCTCGTTGAACGGTTTTGTACACAAAAGATTGAATTTTTTTTAATTTTCATGGTCATGGAAGACTCAACGCTCCTCCTTTGTCTCTTTTCAGAAAGGCTATGAATGATCTACCTTGATACCCTTTCTACGATCCCTCAATATTTATTTTTTACGTATTTATGTTTATCTTTATGATGGTAAGACCTAAATCTCTGCACGCATTTTATTGAAATAAGCAGTTGGGGGTTTAGCTTTATTCGCTCCTGAAATACACTAGAAAAGCGGTTGATGTTGCTTATTTACTTACTGTAGTTTCTATTTGATACATAGATTGCATAATTTTTTTAAATGCTAGCATATACTATTTACACTTTCGAATTAAGTACTTCATAAAATTGTACTATTCTTTGCTATTAAGTTTTATTTGTGACTTACAACACAATAACTATATAGCACATTGTAATATTGTCATGAGATATTTTATATTATGTGAGTCTATGTACTAAGATTGACGACAATCAAAAAAAGGATGGTTTAGTATGATTGTTGTGGAATGTATTTGATAACTGTGACATGGTCTAACTTTATTCTTTTCTGTTCATAAATTTTTACAAATTGAATGTAATGTGTTACAACTTGATGCACTTATCAGTGAGAAAATGCTGCAAATTGATAATAAGAACAAACTAAAAATTTGAGAAAGAAAAACATAATACGTAGACTGGGTGCATTTCATGCATGTAGCGCTCTTGCAGACAGAATAATACAGAATAGTCATTTGATGTTACTTGGTTTATCAAGCATTCAAATTTTATATTGATTAACTTCTAATCGGAAGTTTCAAGATTAAGCACAATTTTAAGCTTACTATATCATAAAGGACATTTTTTGTTTGATTACATCTTCTCCTATATTAGTTGAAATCTAAATAATTTTTATTTTTGGACTTTGGTATAGACTGATTATTCACCAAAGAGAAGTTCAAAGGAGTCCGATGAGTGAGGTATGTATATTAGTCTTGAGCAATAACAATTCCCTGAACATCTCTAGATTTAAGGAATGTACTATGTGGCAATCTTGAAGAATTTGTACTCTGAACAAACAACTATTTGGTTTCTTTGAGTATCTGGTTTATGAAACTTCAGTTTGGTACTTGTAATGTTATGAAGTGAAAATATAGGTTCTTTTGCCTTCTCATTTTTCCCTCCTTTTTGTGATGAGTAATAAAAAGAAAGTTTATAAATTTTTTAGTACCTATAGTAAGATAATGCTGAGATGATATAAGAATATTTCAGTATAAACCCATATTTTATTTTATAGTGGTGATAGAAATTGTATAAATTGTAATACTTCATAACCGTGTATGTTCTCAATAACTAATGAAATTTCTAGTCATTTGCTACTCATATGATTGAGCTTATTTCTTTCTTTTATTTGAGGGTAAGTGAAATGTATTGGCCAATTTTTTGGAAATTATTTGCATTAAATTTCGGCATATCCATACAGTTGTCAGAGTTTAGCTTATCAAAGAAAAAATAAGAACTAGCTCTCCAATTTTTAAGTAATTGTTGACTGGTTTAATCTCAAATCTCAAGGATAGAGGAATCCCATACTTTTTTAAGAAAATAATTAGATTTATGATGCGTCCTTGGATTGTAGTAATAGTGTCTTCGCCTTTAATGACATTGTTCGATCTTCTCTAGAGATGTAAGCACTCATAAATATGATACATCTAGTTGATCATGTGGTATAGAATGACGGTATGAGATGAGGAATTAGACATATTCTTGGGCTTAATTTTGTAAATGTTTAATAGAAAAGCACGATATAGAATGACAGTAGGAGATGAGGAATTAGACATATTATTGGGCTTAATTTTATAAATGTTTAATAGAAAAGCACAATAAAATGAAATATTTGCTTAGTTTTACATACGCCGGTCAACCCCTAGGGAGGTAATATATAGTTCTATGTTTCTGTCATTACTGACCAAAGACGAAATTGTTCTTATGTGTTTGTAAAATTATGGTTTATCCTTAAACATTTAATGCTATTTGGAGTCGTAGATGTAAATACGCAATTAAAATTTAAATTGTTGGGCCCGTGCATAGCACGAGCAACACTCATCTAGTTAACTATATAGAAGAGAAAGAGTTTCTACATGGTTGCTTATTTGTCATTTATATATCAAAATAAGGGCATCTATGGAATTTCAACTAAGTCCAGTTGTTGTATTAGCGTGCTTCTTCCTAAGTCCTTACGTGTCGCTTTCCATCTAAATCCGAGTTATCCCCATCCATAATCCATTCCATTCTCCAATTCTTTGCTTCTCTTCCGCCATGTGCTTCTTCTCCTTCGATCTCTCTCTGTGATTTTGCTGATTGTCCTATACCACTAGTACCAAGCGCTATCAAAAAACATGGTAGTTTTTTCGTTGTAATTGTTCATCTTTTGGACGGCTTACAGTAGTTTAGGGCGGTATGTCAATTAGGGTATGAAATTTCAGTTATATTCTTTGTATTTCTATTTCTATTTATAGTTTTCGTGGGTGTTCCGTTGTCTTTATTTTATGTCTTCAGTTTTCTCTTATTTCTTTCTTCAATTTAATGAAGCTGCGTTTTTCCTGAGATTTGCTTCAATTGTTTTTGATTTTGCAAGGAATAATCTAGACTCTTGATTTAACTTCCGTTGGTCTGACATTTTCGGCAAATGCTTTGTTGATGGATTTGAGCGAGGTAAGATTATCCTTCTATGTCCTTCCTGATCTTAGAAAGACTCAATTTATTCTATTTTCTTTTTATCGTTTTTTCATTTGGGGGTGGGGGATGGGATTTCACTGTAGCTTTGTGGTTGATTTGGTAATGAGAAGATAAAGCATTTAGATTACTGAATGTCAGATGGAATTCGCCAACTGATTTAGCATTTATTTCTAGGCGTTAGGACAAAGCTACTCATACCATTAATCTTAGTTAGAGCGCAAAATAATAAAGAAAGCTCCCCAAGATAACTTGTACTGAGATACTCATTTATGAATTTTTTTTCCGTGCTTTGCATTTTTCTGTACAAAAGAATAGTGCTTTGCAACTATCCAACGCTGTTACAATTCTACTTTGATTTGGTGTGGTAAATGTTAGCGCACAGATATACAACTGAAACTCGAGGGATAAAATTAAACAACACATTACTCAAATTTACAGTAGTAATAATATAACATCCAAGTATACATCTATGAATTTATTGTTTAATTATCTTTGGTACTATAATTCCTTCTAACTTCTAAGCTGCAAAGTTACTACTACCTGATTTTCTAGGTTTTTGTTTTTCTTCAGAATCTGACCCGTCCATTCCTCTTCATTTTCTTTTTTATGTACTCTGTGTTTGCTGACTTTAATTATGAGCTTCTTCGTTTCCTTTGAAATATATTACGCTTCTTGATCAATATAATTCTAATCAATGAAGAGTTAATCTGCAACAGATTCCCACTTAGTTAAGTTCACATTAAAATGCCTCTACTTGCCTTTTTTCTCCTATGTGTTACTATACCAACTTCTTTTCCCCTAGCTTTTTGCAGAACCTATATTAACATGATCTATTTTGAGAGAATATTGAAGAAGAATTTTAACTTCCCCTAAAGACATTCTACTTAAATATCATTAATTATGTTGGCATATGAAGTTCACACCAGTTCATTGTGCTCTAGGTTGAAAGCAGCAACAACAACAACAACGACCCAGTATAATTCCACTAGTGAGGTATGGGAGGTAGTATGTACGCAGACCTTACCCCAACCCCGAGGCAGTAGAGAGGCTCTTTGCGAAAGACACTCGACTCAAGAAAACGAAAAGAGACAATATATCAGTCCCATCAACAGATACCATGGGAATAATAACATCATCATAAAGATGTGGTCTAGGTTGAAAGCATGATAAAATATTGTTCAAGGTCATCCTCTTATGTCTTTCTTTCACAAGATACAGTGTGAACCCTGTATGATAGCAATTGATTTCATCTCCATTGGTGGGTCGATACTATGCATTGATATGTGCTGAAACAAGGGTAGTAGCAAATTTAAGCTTATGACATGTTGATTCCGGTAGCAGCAGAAACATGAGGAGTAGAAAATTAAATGCTGCTGAAATTTTGTATTCTATTTATACCTCTTAACTACTTTTGACCTAATTTAAACAAATAGCATGATAATGCTTGAAAGTTGTTGAATAATTTCTTTTCTGTTGAATCGTTCAAATTATGGGTGTTTAATATTAAGAAAGATCGGGAAGGATTAGCTAAAATGATTGTTTTAGGTTGTTTACCTTTTAGTTTTGCTGCTTCATCATATCTTGTTACTTATATTCAAAGAATTTATAATCCTTTGTTTAAAGGTATTCCTAGAAGTACTTGTTCTTTAGGCTTTTTGGACAATATCAGACATATATACGTTATTTGTTCGCCAGTCTTTCTTGTAGAATTTCTCTTACTTCTAATATTGGTCGTGCTGTAAATGGTAATGATTATTTGACTGTTACATGCCATTGGATAGATGGTAATTTTTGTATGCAAAAACGTATTATTGCTTTTAAATATGATGAAGATCAAAGTCATACTGGTGCATTTATAAGTAATACTATCCATGAAGTTGCTATATTTTATAATCTTGCAGAAAAAGTTTTGTGTGTGTCATTTGATAATGCTTCTAACAACAATGCTGCTATTACAATATTAAAATTGCATCTACACCCACCACTTCCTGAAATATTTCATGTTAGATGTGCATGTCATATTTATAATTTGATTGTGAAGAGTGGCCTTGAATTATTTAGAGATGATATCACTTTAGTTAGAAGAGTTGTTGGTGTAATTCAAGGAAATAATAGAAGTGCTAGATTAAATGCATTTAAAGAAAAATGTCTACACTATGAACTAAAATCAAGACTCATGCCTGAAGAAACAGTTACTAGGTGGAATTATACTTATTTATTCTTAAAATATTGTTATAAATATAGAATGCCTATAACTGAAGTTGCTAATTCTCATTGTACCGATCCTAGCCGTTTGTTAACATCTAGAACTTGGGATGTCATTGAAGATGTTGTAAAGTTTTTACAAAAATTTTATGTGGCTACACTTGAGTTTTCTGGAGCTTATTATCCTACTATTGCAAATGGTTTAGTTCATATTGCTGAAATTTCTCTTTTACTACATAATTTGAAGAACAAAGAAGGATATACTTCTGTTGTTGAATCTATGCTAGATAAGTTTAAAAAATATTTTTACCCAATTCCCCCTATTTACCTAATTGGTGCTATTTTAAACCCTTTCATCAAAATGGCCACTTGTCGCCAATTAATCACTGTTTTATATTCTTATATGGATATTGATGAACAAACCAGTAGCATGAACATTAATGAACTTCAATTCTACTTGCAAAAGTCAGCAGAGCCCCGCACAAAGGAATTTCTACCACTAGGTTGGTGGAGGAGCAACTCAAATCAATTTCCTGTTATTTCGGCCACGGCTCGAGACGTGCTAAATGTGCCGATTTCAACAGTCGCATCAGAGAGCGCATTTAGCCAAGCAAGGCAGCAACTAGGAAATACCCGTCATTCATTGGGTAGCAACGCTTTGGAAATTCTAGTATGCTTTAGAGATTGGATAAGATCAGAACGACGAAATCAAGGGCGTGACGAGGTAGATGAAGCGGAGGACTAAGAAATTGGAGATATAATGGTTTATGGTTCTGATTCAACCAATGCCGGAAACCAAAAATCTCATGTTGACATGGATGAACTTACAAAAATGATGTAAAGTATGTGATGTACTATTTTTTTTTTATTTTTTTTTTATAATTGTTGTAAACTTTTAATTTGCAAGTTCAAAAATAACAAAATCAAAAAAGAACTTGCAACTTAATTTGAAGTATTATATATTACTCAATAAAAATATCAAATGAAAGTCTTCAGAGCTTGATCCTTACATATTGCCTATTGGTCTTATTAAATAATTTTTTGTAGCAACTTACTTTCAAATTTCAATTTTAAAATTATAAAATTCAAATTTCAACTTTCAAATTTTAAACTTCAAAGTTTAATTCTAAGCCTTAAAAGTTTGCAAACACTTAAGTATCAATAACATTGAATAAGAAAAACAAAAATTACTTTAAAAAAAAAAAATCCACGGCCCGCTAACGGGTCCGCCAACAGCCCTCTAACAACCCGCTAAGCCCCAACCCGGACGGAAAAAAAAAATCCGAAAAAGTATAGCCCGCTAACTCAGCTCGCTAACAACCCGCAATGTTAAACGGATGGGCTGCCCATTAACCCTCCAGTACTCGGGTTAAGTTTTTGTTGCCCATCTTCCTCATCTACTCCCCAATGAAGAGGGTGGTTGTCTACCATTTGCCTACGAAGTTGACCCGTTCCCCCTCCCTTACCGGTCTCATGTTTATAAATATCCTTACAAATTCTACATCTTACATAATTTTTATGTTCTTCTAGTCTGTCAAAAAAATTCCAACACTTACTTCTTAATCTTCGATTCTTCTTAATAGGGAGGGGAGGCCTACTTGTATTACCACGACTTTCACCCCTAATATTTTGAGTTTGACTAGCATTACCAGGTGTAGCTGGTGGTGTTTCAAGATTATCAGGTGATGGAAATGGAATATCATCTAAACTATCATCTAAATCATTATCTATACCATAATTTTCTTGAAGTCCCTCATAATCTACATTTAAATTTTCACGTGAACTTTCAGAAATATGTGTAAAGCTACTAGAAGAACAAGCACCACCTCTTGATCTTTTGAAAGTTTTCTTACTACCACCTCTACTAGTGCACGCATTTTTGGCTGCTCTAAATATATCCATTATGTAAATTAAATTAATAATTGTAAATAATAAAATAAATGTACACCGAAGAAGAGAAAGATATAGAACGAGTGTACCGGGATTCCGGATGCCGCACTAAATTTGATATCAAAAACCAATCTTCAATTGATAAATCGATACTTGATAGTTGATACCACACTTCACTTGATATTTGATAATAATAATTTTGTAATGGCTAAACTAAATATTTGATGAAACTTGAAATAATAAGTAATTGAGAATTTAAGAACAATAATCAATAATATCAAGAGAGAATTAGAGTAGTAAGAGAGTGAATTGTGAGAGAAAATGAAGAAGAAGGGGGGCTATTTATAGTTTTTAAAAGGTTAAAATTGTAATTTATCAAATACTAGGGGTGTGGGGGCTATTTTCTTAAGAGGTAGGCCGAAATGGCCATTTCTGCAAAAAAGGGCCGTTGGCCAACGGTCAAATTCAAATATGACCGTTGGCCAACGGTCAAAAAAAAAAAAAGTTAAAAATCGAGCTGAACCGGGCTGTAGCCCGTTAACAACCTGTTAACGGGCTTAGCGGGTTCCGGTGTACCGGTATCAAAAAACTGTTCGTTTGAAACCTGCTCCCCGCTCAATCCGTCCCAGCCCGCCCCCACGCTACAGTACCGGTCTGAACCGGGTTGTAAACGGGTCAGCCCGGCCCGATTAACAGGTATAGTTCAAATGCATAAATTAGCTACACTACTACTTGTGTACTTCTCTTATCACATGGCATTTTTCTGTTGTCTTTTGTTCATACATTCTTACGACAATAATTCCTACCTTGGCTACGTCATGTAACAGGTCCCAATGTATTTGTCGAAGACCACAACAAACGAAGCCGACAACTATATACCTTGGTTGGCCTTCAAGTCGATGCATCACATTTCATTAATATGTGAACAGTTAGTAAATAGGTATCTTGTAAACCTCTGGACATCTTGTAAAACTTGATTCTTTAGTGGATAGTACCAAGAAGTAGTAAAACTTATTGAATCTTGGTATGTTTGCATTTTTGCTGGTGATCTCTTGCTTTAGGATTCTAGGGATATTTTATTGATTCAATATATGCAATGCAGTTATCCCACACAGGGACTTGCTCATTGTTGTGAATGCAAAGAGGGACAATGATCTTATGGTAAATGTTCACAAGTCTAAGGAGCTTTAAATCTGATTTTGCGACTCTTTCACACTTCTTCATCTTTGAGTGGTAGGTAGCTTCAAAGATAGTCCGATGAAATTGGTATCTAAGGTCTATTTGATTACAATACTCAAGTTTGTACAAAATGCAAATATATTTGACTTTATTCCCTTTAGTTAATTGATTTTAAATATAATGGCATTAACATAAATCTCTTAGATGTTGGGCCCGTGCTGGCACGGGCAATAACCACCTAAGTATATTAGAAGACAAAGGGTTTCGACATGGCTGCTTAGTTGTCATTAAAATTTAAATTTAGGGCATTATAGTCATTTAACCTAATAGCTACATACGTGTTTGTATTTTAGGTTATCAGTGTATATGTGGATTCTAGGACAACGTACAGAGTTTTCATTCAATAAGTTCTTCATCTTCCGATGCAATTGAACTAGACATGGCTATGGTGTTTGTCTACTTGCAGGTCATCCATCGATCACCCTCCAATTCAAACATTGGGATTGAAGTCTATTGTAAGTTGAGTAATTTATATTCTGCAAAATATTAGTGTCAAATTGCTTCTTTCCATCCAAATTGCCTCAAATGACCTCTTAGAGACCGAGACGATTTGCAGATCTAAGAGGACTTCAGTGGGCTATTGTTGTGAGAATTTTCCTTCTTCTCCTTTGTCCTCTATCCCGATTGACTCCCTTAGATTTTTTTTTACTGAAGGGCTATTACAGTATTTCCTGAGTCAATGCTCTTCTGTTAACTGATTCTGCACTTGTATTTACTCATTGATTATTTTTTATCAATTTCGTAGCAGATAATGGTACTAAGAACTTAATGAGAATAGAGAAAGGCTATCTGAACAAAATTTCACAAGGTCAGTTATGCAATTCTGAAAACGTTAATATTGATCTATATTTTCCAACAAGTTAGATAAATTTTATTATATTAGGTTTTATCGTTTCCCTTATTATCATAGTTAGTTATCTGTATGTAGCTGAAAATAAAACGGAGAATTTAGAGAGCCATTTTTTAGCAGTCACTAATTTGTCCAAAAAAATATAGTTCCTTTTACCCATTTGTATTGCTTTTACTTCTCTAATATAACTACTATTATTTACTTATAAACGATTAAGTTCGTATTTGACATGCTTAAGTTTTTCTATTCTTCCCTTTTCCTTTGGACTTCAATTTTTTGAAGTTGAATGAAGGGGTCATTAGTTGTTAATCCATTTCCATTACAGTGTTATTATGACATGTTTTCCTTCTGCGATTGTTAGATCAATCTGTTAATAAGTTTTGGTGGAAAATGACCATAGCTGCACTCAATAATGGAGTAGTCTGAACCTTTTCTGCTTTTTGGTTAATGACATCTTGAGGCATAGATATTTTGGTTATTCTGTGGGAAAGACTACATACAACTCTCATGTGGTTGATGAATTGATTATGTTTCTATACATGATTAAGTTATTCCACAGAAGAGGCTCACTCTTATAAATCTATAAAATAACTTTAATTTTCGTAGGAACTCAAGTCTACCATATTTAAAGTAAGTATTATTCCTAGGTTTCTAGGATATTAGCATTGTAAATGTTTCTTCCTGTAGGAGATGGAATTACTTCGATAGTTTATAAGATTTTTTATTTCACTAATTACTACTATTTCAGATATGTTGTATGGGTTATATGTCCGGAGTGATATATTGCTATGTAAGAAATCGTTCAACTGGAACTGGACAAAGAAAGACGATCTTGTTACAAGAAAATGGCCTTAGAGGTAATCAGCTTGATCAAAGCAAACAGGTGTACCTCTTACATGGAAATATCAAAGCAAACATGTGTACCTCTTGCATGGAAACACTAAGAGTTGAATATGATATCGTTGGCCCAGACGAGGACACACAGGTACCGCTTTTCTTTCTCACTTCCCTCTTTTTCCTCCTTATAAGTGTGTAAACATGGGAAAAATGCAGGTAGCAAAAAAAAATTTCTTTATTGCTTCTAATTGTTCTTTACTGGATATGAATTTCTCATAAACTAAGTTGATCAATTTAATTTTCCTTTATTCACTACTCATAGGTCCCTCAAGTTGTTGGAAATGAAACTGGTTTGGCAAAATGTAGAAATGAGAAACGAAAATGGAAAGAGAGCGAGAGAGGGACAATAGTACACTGCTGATACTTCTAATTTTTATGATATCATTTGTGTTTTTAATTATATTTGCTCCTGTCATGTGAGCACAATTCATGAGCTATAATCTTTTTTTTTTTCTATATAATTGTGTCTCATTTGCTAAATTTTCATGAATTTCCGACACAATCACTAGGGGAAGCAGCGTCTAATGTTTGTTGTTTATAGATAACACATGATGTCTCTGAAGCTAAGAATCTCATTAGTCAGGTAAGCTTGTTAGAGGTGAAAAAAAGAAAGTAAGTTTATTAGAAGGTATGTATGCGTCAATTTGGTGAAGAAGAATGCACAACAATATTACATTTGCTTGTCCAGTTCTTGCGGACAACTTCTCAAAGAGACTTTCCCTTCAGAAGATCTTGAAGCACCTGTGGATAGTCAAGAATGCTGATTCGAATGTAGAACTCTGAAAGTGACATTTCTGGCTGCTCTCTCCTTGTATCTTTTGACCAGTTTGCACCAGTTGATTTTCAATATAACACAAAATTTGACTGGAGATCCATGGTAAAAATGAAATTATCGAAGTTGCAGGAAATGAAGTCAACAAAATTAAAAGTTCTTTGGGAAAGAAGCTGGATTTGGTGAATCTGCAGGAAGGCACATTTAGTTACTGAAACACAAGATGCAGTGAATTTTCCTGTTGAATCTATAGAGTCTGGTAAGTGCTTTCCATCGTAAATGAGACACTTACCTACTTTTCTTTTTCAACCAAATGAATTTGTTAAATCATATTTTTCACTTTAAATTATAATTATAATCTAATTGAGCTACCTGTGCGTATTTTAAAAAAAGGTATTGAAACATGTCTTACTCTTTCAATCTTTTTTAAAAAAAAATACTTCCTTAAAAAGAATAATTTTCTCAGCCTACATATATGATGCATCATAATAAATTTAATAGTCAAGCTATTATAAATTGCTTGGGTATTCCTATGTATCCTTCATGTGCCATGTTTTCTTTGACTAGGAGGACAGAGAAGTTTCAATTAACATCACGATGCAATAATTGAAATTATATCTAGAAGGTTTAAGCTACTTTTAACAAAAGTGTGGTAGTTAAAAGCACCTCTATGTATCATGTTTACACTCTCAGAAGCAAAGCTTTGACATTTTCATTAGTAGGCAAGTATTTACTGTTATTCTTTTAGTGCTAGGTTAACAGTAGTAAATGACGGCCATTTTGAGAATCTTACCTTATATGAAACTAATTTTAAAGCAGACATGTCATATTAGAAGCACATGAGAGATCAAAGTATTATGAACTTTTTTCGTCACATGATTGAGTTTCTTGATTGGAAAATGTATTTTTAAAGGAATGAATACATATCAGTTTGTGCTAAATCTGAACCTCTAGCTTGTAGATAAAGCATTAATTGTCAATTGTGATATATGTGAAATGATTTATACAGTACTTGATGTCGCTCAGTATGTGAAGACTTGTCTAGTATGCCAGAAGGATAAGTCGGATCACTTGACGCAAGCGGGACTCTTGGAATCACTAGCTGTCCCAAAAAGACCTTGGGAAAGCGTTTCCCTGGACTTCATCACCGGATTGCCCAAGGTCGGAGATCTCACAACTATCCTGGTTGTGGTGGATCGGTTTTCCAAGTATGCTACCTTTATAGCAGCCCCACAATATATATCAGCAGAAGAAACAACTCGACTCTTCTTCTATCATGTCGTCAAATATTGGGGCCTGCCTAAAGACATCGTTAGTGATCGCGACTCACGCTTCACTAGCAACTTTTGGACCCAGCTCTTTAAGTGTCTCGGGTCAAAACTGAGTCATAGCTCAAGTTTTCATCCGCAATCNCTCTTTAAGTGCCTCGGGTCAAAATTGAGTCATAGCTCAAGTTTTCATCCGCAATCTGATGGCCAGACGGAGCGATTCAATGGCATGCTGGAGGAATATCTTCGCCACTTTGTAACCGGATCGCAAAAGAACTGGGTGAAGCTTCTGGATGCTGCTCAGCTGTGTTTCAATTCACAAAAGAGCTCTAGTACCAACAAAAGCGCTTTTGAAATTGTTACCGGACAGCAACCGCTACTCCCACACACTGTGAATGCACCGAACATGTAAAAATCTCCTCGAGCTGCTAGCTTCTCAAAAGAATGGAAGCAAAATTTGGAGATAGTGCGGAGCTATCTTGTCAAAACCCAAAAGCGGATGAAGAGGCATGTTGATCAAAATCGTCACTTTGTTGAATACCAAGTAGGAGACAAAGTGATGGTCAAAATCCCAAAGCGGTACTTGTTTGCAGGGATTCATGACCCTCGCCTATTGCAAAAATATATTGGACCCTTGTCCATTGAAAGACGCATTGGGAAAGTTGCATACCGGGTGGATACCCCAGCTTGGTGAAAAATCCATCCCGTTTTTCATGTCAGTCTCCTGAAACCTTTTCGGGAAGATATGGAGGATCCTTCACGGAGCCAACTCACAGTATCCAGTATTCGAGGTCCCAATTCAACCGGAAAAAGGCGTGTTGAAGCTATTCTTGATGATCGAGTGATTCACGCCTCAAGGAAAGATCAACAAGAGTTCTTGGTGAAATGGCAAGGATGTGATGCAGAGGAGAATACCCGGGAGAGGGGAACAAACCTCAAAGCCTACTAGAGCCTACTGGATGATTATCTTGCAAGTAAGGCGCCGAGGACGTCGCCAACTCAGGTGGGGGAGAATGTCATGGGCGGCTTTCCAGCCATGCCCCATGACCCCTTGGACGCGCCCCGTGGCGTCCTTGCAAGCCTCCCAACGCCCAACGCTACGGTTGGCCCCGTGGTCTCGGCAGCTCCAAGTGATAAGCGCGCATGTGCCTCTGTCGCCCCACCGCTAGCTATCGCCAGCGCCCAGCCACAGGCAGACGCCAACAGCGCCGCGCGCGCAAACCCTGATGCTAAAGACAAAGTTGCTGCCAACGGACCATTTTCTACCTTGTAGAAGACTAAGTCCTTTTCTTTGTAAATATAGAGTAGTTTTACTGCATTTTCTTTAAGTGTGGTTTTGCAGCTTATTTAGGTCAAGTTATGTAACTTTGGTTTATTTTTTTTAAGCATTATTAAGGGGGACCAAGCAATCAAACTTTCTAGCAAGCAAACAATTCTCTGTACTGGTGTTTCTCCCCCCGACACCACGTTATTTTTTTTGTAATAGCTTTCATTCAATGCAATCAAGCTTTCTTTCATTCTCAATTCTCTTTTCTGCTCTCTCTCAATTGCTCATGACATTGGTTTTCTCGTACGGCACTGACAATCTAGTCTAGCGTACGGAGGGGATCTCAGTTGGCGGACAACAATCGCACTGACATCGATTGCTTTGTCTTATGTCGCCCTTCCAAAGAATATCAGAAAGGCGCCACGTAACAGATAGTATGGTGCCGCCATATATGTAGAGAGTATTATTTGTCAATTCTTACAATATCCATGAGTGGATATTTTATTCCAATTTACATGAAAATAGTATCTAGCAATGAGCATGTGATGTTCTCTCTCTGATTTGATACTAGTTTACGTGCATCAATTTTTACTACCTATTATTTTATATCAGAACAAAGTGAACAAAAAATAGTAGTTACCATTTTTACCATATTGGGCCCGTGCTGGCACGGTCTCTCTGCCTAGTCTATTATATAGAACAGCTTGAGTTTCGACATGTCAGTTTTTGGTCATTAAAATTCAGGCTGGGGTCATTTTAGTCATTTTATCTCTTAACTGCTGTAACTTTTGCCTTACGTGTTCAATCCACTCCACGTGGTCTTTACTTCCATAAATGCAACATCAATCTTGAAACTATCCAGTTCTTTTATCTCTTTCTCTTCTTTCTTCATTCTTCGGAAAATTGCTCTTTAGATTTCTTCGGACATTCAAAGAACTTTCAGCTCTCTCCATCTTCTCCGCTGGATCTTACAATTTCAGGTTTGATCCTCTTTCAATTGATTGTGCAAGGCGTCATCTTTGTTTTTTCTTGAGGTATTCTTGGTTTATATCACGTACTTAACTGTTGTATTATTGACATAATGTTCCAAATTGAAGATGTTAGCATGTTGTTAATAAGCAAAGAATCCTTACTATCAGATACCGAATATGTGAATCTGCGGTAAAAGAAAAACAATGGAAAATTTGAGTATTATGATTTTCATGGTGTTAGTTCTTCAGCATTTGCAGAGGAGATAAAGGCCTATTATCTCAAGGAGTCAAAACAAATGGTTGGTTTGGGGAAAGCGTAATAGCTAAGCCATGGATTCTTGGTTGGGACAGAAAATTTCTTCTCTATCAGCGATTTTTACACCTTTTTCCCTGTTATTGTAGGATAACTTTTAATCCAAAGTTTGTTCTGTGTTAATGAATTTAGATGTTCTCTCAATTTTGTCCTCCAATAGCTTGATTTTAAGCACTAATTTATTTTCATTGTATTTCTAATAAATTCAACTTTAAAAAAAGTCTGAAGGTTTTTGTTAATATGAACAAAGGTAAAAGTATTGTTTGAATCTCTATCTGTAGCAAGTCTAAAACGTCAATATGTATGTGAGTTAATAAAATTTGAGAGAAAATTTAAGAAAATAGTATTTGCAGTTGGCATAAAAATACTATAGTGATGTTGCGGAAAGAAATACGTAGAGGCAATGTAAAATGTATTACGATATAGTTATCAATGGTAATAACCACATAAGGAAATTAGTTTATTGGCGTAATGAACATGCGAAAAGGATGGACTTGTGCGACTTCTCCTTTTCGTTACTCCAAAGCTACATCATTTGTGCCTGTGAATATGAGCTTTCTTAAATTCTAATCACAAAAAAACGCACTCAATATGTTTACTTCATATTAGATAATTCATTTCACTGTTGTTGCCTACCTTTGATACCTGCATGTTGTGATTTCTTCTACTATTTCATGTGTATCAAAGAAATGTTTCCGACTGTGATTTGCTTCTAACCCCCCGCCCTTCAATTTAAGTAGATAATGCCAGTTGATGAACTGTCTATTGAAGTATTTCCATATAATATCTCACTATCACTATGTTTCACATTTTAAATAATTTATTGGATGGTGTTAATGATTGACATATTCTATTCCTACTTTAATTTAATATTTTTTATTAAGCTTGAATTGTGGTGCGATTCGTGGTTTTAGCGTTGTTTGATGTGATTTGAAGGCCCGACTAAGTTCGTATGATATTTTAGGACTGGTTGGTATATTTTGTCGAGGTCCCAGGGGCTTCGGGTGGATTCCGGATGGTTAACAAATTGAATTTGGCCTTATGAAAGTGCTGGTGGCAGCATATCTGTTGTAACCGCACCTGCGAGGTTTTGGCCGCAGGTGCGGAGCCGCAGAAGCGGCACTGTGGCCGCAGAAGCGACCTTTGGACTAAGCTGGGATGGCCGTATATGCGAGTGTATTTTCGCATCTGCGAGCCCGCAAATGCGTTGGGTGCTCCGCAGAAGCGGCAAACGAGATGGGCAGCTGGGTCGCAGAAGCGGAGGGGTATCCGCACATGCGGGAGCGCTGAAGCGCATGGTGGACCGCAGAAGCGGTCGCGCAGAAGCGAAGAGTGGTCCGCAGAAGCGGATTTTCACTTGTCTTGGAGGGAACCGCACCTGCGACGTATTTTCCGCAGGTGCGGCTGGTGATCCGCAGGTGCGGAAAGTCGTCTGGGAAGAGGGGTTCTTTTAAAAGCGGGATTTGGCCCATTTTCATTCATTTTTACTTGGTTGGGGCGATTTTGGAGAGTTTCAAGGGGAGATTTTCATCAAGCAATACAAGGTAAGTGATTCCCACCTATTACAAGTTAAATACATAGTTGGTATAAGGATTTAAACATGGAAATTAGTAGAAATTATGGGGTTTTTGGTAGAAAACCTAGAATTGATATTTTTTAATTTTGACCACGAAATTGGGCATGGAATTGAGAATAAATTATATATTTGAGTTCGTAGGGTTATGGGTAATGATTATTTTCAAAAAATTTCGGAATTCGGGCACGTGTGCCCGAGGGACGATTTTTATAGACTTTTCGAGCGGAGTTGAGAATTTGTTTAAATTGATTAATTTTGGGTATTAGAGTATATTTTGATTGGTTTGCACATTGTTTGAATAGTTTTGGATCGACAAGCTTTGGTTGAGGTGTTAGAGAGGCCTTTGAGCCGGTTTTTGAAACTTCGGAGCGAGTAAGTCTTCTGTCTAACCTTGTGAGGGGGAAGCTACCCCTTAGGTGATATTTATTGTTATATGCAACTAGTTATGGGTGCTAGGTACGCACGAGGTGACGAGAGTCCGTACGTAGCTATAGCATGTTTATGTCCGGGTAGACCTAGGATCTTATCCAGTAATATTTGAATTATTTGAACATATGTTGCTGACATTAATTATTCGAAGTTATAAATGAAATTGATTTAGAAGTAATTATATGTATATTAGGCCAAGCCTCAATACTTTGAGTTGTGGGTAAGTTATCTGAGAAACGGTAAAGATTATATCCATTTTGTACCCACGTACGTTGTTGTAAACACGTGTCTCGTAATTCGATAACTTCATTCCTTTTCTTGTGGAGCGGGCCGAACGCCTCGGCAGTATATAGGTGCATATATGGTTCGTGCCGCTCGACCCTCGGCAGTGTACACATTATTCCGGATCGGGTCGAATGTCCTTGGCAGAATCGTGCGTTATATCGCTTGTAGCCCGAATATTCACGTGTTAACCTCTCTACTGATGCCCAACATTTTATATGGTACTCCGGGTTTGTTTGATGATGACACTTGACAACTTTCGAAAATATTAAGATAGAATACAAGATTGAGAAATTCATACTTTAAAGGAAATAATTGAAAACTTTTGAAATTTACAGATTTACTACACTATTATTGTGCACTTCATACCTGTTATGGATTATTATATTACTTGCTTGGACCTTTAGTAAGTGTCTGTCACGACCCAAAATCCGCATGTCGTGATGGCGCCTATCTCAATACTAGGCAAGCCGACAACCTCAATAAAACCACAATTTCTTTTGAGTTTGAAAACATAATATTTAAATTCCATAGAAAAACCTCACGATTACAGATACAAAATACTCCCAAAACTCGGTGTCACTGAGTACATGAGCATCTAAATGATAACAAGTCTGACTGATAAAAACACTATTTGAAAATATAGAACAGTATAATAACTGAAAGGAAGAGAGAGTCAAGGTCAGCGGACGCCGGGCAGCTACCTTGATAGTCTCCAACTGATAACACTCTGAGATCTAACAGTCACCGTGTCCGGAAGTACCTGGATCTGCACGCGAGGTGCAGAGTGTAGTATGAGTACAACCAACTCAATAAATAACAAAACTAATCTTTGGGCTGAAAGTAGTGATGAGCTCAGCCAGTACAATCCAGTATAGAAATAACAGTACAGAAATATAGGCATGCTTTCAAGTTCAACAGTTAAACTCAGTACTGTATATGGCCAATCCAGCCCAGGGAAGATCCATCCCATATATATATATACATCAACTTCCAATCAGTGATTCAGTATCGTACAAGGCCAATCCAGCCCAGGGGTAAATTTATCCCCAAATATAAATGACTCGGACAAGATCCATGACCAGGGAAAATTCATCACAATCATAAATAGATAAAGCAAGTCCCTGTCCTGGGAAGTCCATCCCGAACATCTATAAGTAAGACAGGTCTATGCCCTGGGAAGTCCATCCCGAACATATATAAATAAGTAAGGCAAGTCCATGCCCTGGGAAGTCCCGAATATAAATCATCTACGCTCACTGTGGGGGGTGCAGACTCCGGAGGGGCTCCTTCAGCCCAAGCGTGATATAAAGCTGATATGGCCTGCTGCAGGCGGGCAATCCCGATCCATATAATAATAAAGTCTGGAAGGCTTGCTGCAGGGGGCATCCCCGATCCACATAATAATAATATATATAAAGTCGATATGGCCTGCTGCGGCGCGCAACTCGATCCCATAAATATACTCACAATGGATGAACATGACTGAGTATGAAATGTATATTTTTTTTTAAACAATTAAATTCAATAGCAACACGACCCTATGGTCCCAAAATATCGGCACGTAGCCTAAACATGATCTTTAATACAAGTCTCAGCTCAATTCCTCTAACACGAGGAGAATATGCGCATAATAACATGATTTTTCAATTTTACAACTCCCCAGAATTTATTTAAGTCACAGTTTCTATGGTGCATGCCCACACGCTCGTCACCTAGCATGTGCGTCATGTCCAACAATTCACATCACACGTAATTCAGGGATTTATACCCTCAGAACCAAGTTTAGAAGTGTTACTTACCTCAAACCGTGTAATTCTTTACTCCGCTATGTCTTTGCCTCGCGAATTGGCCTCCGAAAGCCTCGTATCTAGTCACAATTAATTCGATTCAGTCAATACAAATTATATCCGAAATTTAACTCAAAAATCGCTCGTGGGGCCTACGTCTCAGAACCCGACAAAAGTTACAAAATATGAACGCCCATTCAACCACGAGTCCAGCCATACCAAATTTACCAAATTCCGACGTCAACTCGACCTCCAAATCTCAAATCTTGCACACAAGTCATAAATGACATAACGGACCTAAGAAAATTTTCAGAACTGGATTCCGACTCCGATATCAAAAAGTCAACTACTCGGTCAAACTTCCAAACTTAAATTTCCTACTTTCGTCATTTTAAACCTAATTTAACTACGCACTTCCAAATAATTTTTCGGACACACTCCTAAGTCCAAAATCACCATACGGAGCCATTGGAATCATCAAAATTCTATTTCGGGGTCGTTTACACATAAGTAAACATCCGTTAACCTTTTCAACTTAAGTTTCATCTTGGAGACTAACTGTCTCAATTCATTTCAAAACCTCACCGGACCCGAACCAATTACCCTGGCAAGTCATATAACAACTTTAAAGCATAAATTGAGCAGTAAATGGGGGAACATGACTGTAATACTCAAAACGATCGGTCGGGTCGTTACAGTGTCGATGTCGACCCCTCGTCACTACTTCTCCGGGGTTGGGCTAGATACTTACTGGGTACGCGTTGATTTACGTACTCATGCTGCACTTATGCACTAAATGTGCAGGATCTGACAGGTTCATTGATGATCACCTTGGCGCGTAGGCGCACCAGTTGAGGAGACTTTATGTGAGCTGCATTCCAGGCCACGCATCGCAGTGCACCGAGTCTCCATTGTACTATTTATTTTATTCTGTCTTATTACATTCGGGACAGATATTGTAATATTAATGTACTCTTTAGAAAATGCTCATGCACTTGTGACATCGGGTTTTGGGGGTTTCTTCGGGTTACTCATTATTGAGGTTCGTGTAGATATTTTTTTTATTCACTCTGTAAACTATATTTTATACTGTACAATTACGGAAAATTATGATTTTAAGATACTAAAATGAGTAATTAAAGTGGTAAATTACCGTTGGCTTGCCTGACGGCGGCGTTAGGCGCCATCACGACCTTTAGTGGATTTTGGGTTGTGACACAATATACATCTGCTCTTTAGAAATGTAAAGATTCAGCAATAGTAATAATGTATTATATTAGAAGCTCAAAAATAACTCATCACCACACAAAAAAATCAAAACTTGCTACTTCAGTTTCTTAGTTCCACGAGTCTATCAACTTAAATGTAGTTTGGCCAGAGCTCCCAATAACGCGCGCATGATCTGTGTGTATCCTATGGTTATCAGGTTCGAAGATTGTAAATTAGTAATATTTGGGTTCATTTTAAACTCTGTTTCTTTACCAGCTATTTATTATGAGTTGCATCATTTTTTAAGTACTATCGTTTTTTTGTGTTGAAGGAATGCAGAATTGTGCCACGAGAAGATGGCAACTATGAGCAGAACTCGAAACATTTCTACATTGAGCGCTAAGAGACACGGATGATCGTTGGATTAAGGCTAGTGATCTGATTGTCTGACCGACCTGCTGAGATTACCACAAGTTCATCCTGGACAGCGAAAACTATGTCGAGGTGTGTAGAAATTTGAGTCTCTTTTATTACGCATAGAATAGAAGCGTTGTGTTCTCTGGCTTTAAACTCGAGCTTCTTAAATCTCCTTGGTGACTGCCAAATATGTTATTATTTTTGAAGTAAATTGGATTTAATCTCAAGTGTTAGACATTTTTTCCCAATGCTAGACTGACTGTGGTGTCCATAGGATCATAATAGCTTTAGCCTATGGCTCACTAGCGTCGGGATCTTGGAGTGCTTTAGGTCATATCATCTGTTTACAGGCAAATATTACCTTATAAATATCGGAGTTTTTGAAACATGCTAAATTTTAATTAAGCGGGTTTTTGAAATCAAGGATAACTTAAAGTTGTCGTTTTGATAAATAGGTAAGGCTGAACTAATATAATAGCTGATTTCTTTTAAAGCGTTTGGTATTTGTGTCTGCTTGAATGAGTCATGACATAGACGAGTTATATTTTACGCTGTCCAACAACTCTCAGATCTGGTATAACTATTGATACTAGAGAGTATGTTGAGTTATAGTAAGAAGAAGTACATTTTACATGCTCCGTTATGAATTACTCTCTCAAATTACTAAGCCTTTTCTTTCCATATTATGTTAGGCATACGGAATTCAAAATTTACACGACTTGAATATGTTGTGATTCATGAGAGTGCTTTCTCTTTATGCATTTGATTGTCCTTTTTAGAAAGAGAAATTTGTCAAAACTTTCATCTCATTTACATGAAAAATATGTTAATGTTAAAATAATAATAGTAATTTATTAACATAGTTAGGAGAAATTTGATGTTGGCCCATTAGGTTTGTGTGCTTTCTTCTACCTTGAAAATTTAAAATTTCCTCTATGTTGGAAAATCTTTATCGTCTTACTTCGCTCCTTTGTTTGAGATATGACACTGACAATTGATCATTACTTTATAACTGTACAGGTATTTTCAGTCAAAAACTGCAAAGAAGAAGACTAAATACCGTATGGAAAAAGCATCACTGTTTGCCAATATGTAAATAGTATTAGAATGTAAATGATTCTCCGACATATGATGTAAAGAATGTGACACTTTATACTTTTATGGATGTAAATAATGTATCGCTTGCCAACAATAGAACATCCATTAGTGGATATTTTGTTCCAAAATATTATGTGAATAATATCCAGCTGATTTGCATCAAGTTTTATTATCTGCAAATTTCATATCAAAATAAAGTTAATGAAAATAACAACACCAGTTTTTACAATATTGGACTTCAAAACAAGTTTTTACAAATATTGGGCCCATGCTGGCACGGGCCAAGCCTACCTAGTTCTCCTTCTCCTATATAAGAAGAGCCGTAGAAACAGGTGAAGCAGGCTCCTCTTCGTTGACATCCCTGCTTCACTGAAACATATTTGCCATTGCATTTGCATTTTATTACGCTAAATGCTACCACACAGTTTAGTAAATAAACGGAACTTCTAAGCCATTTTCAAGGCCCAAAACAGCTACACATATTCCGCAAGCACGTGTGGGCAGTTTGCTGAATCAGTGACCCCACCTTAATTTACTGCATTTGATGGTAAATAAATATATTTGCTGTCTTTTTTTTGAAGAAGGGTGTCGTACCAATAGGGCCCCACTAAAATTTATCATTTAAAAAATCCAGCTCTTCGATTTGAATAGTTTTATCAAAGAGTAAATTTCATCAAAATAAATTTTCATTAAAACAAGAGAAAGGAAATGAATTTCCATTCACTGCATGCGTTTCTCCAAGGTCATTGTTAAATAAAACAAGAGAAAGGAAATGAATTTCCATTCACTGCATGCGTTTCTCCAAGGTTATTGTTAATTATAGATATAGATTAGATCTATTACTAATTGGTCATGGAGAAATAGGTTTAAACAACATTTGCCGGAAAAAGTTGTTAAATCAATCACTAATATGGAGAATTTAGTTTGTATTTCTTGAAATTTGTTGAATAATTAATACACAAATCAAAAATCCAGTTAAATAAAAAAGACATGTGTTAATCAATTCAAAAAATAAAAAGACAAGTGTTAGAACATAATTTAAAGTTTTAAAATTTGATTTTGTTCAACTTTTGAATTATATTGTGTGATTAGTATTAAGAAATCTCTTTCTTCTTTATTAATAATGTACGTTATAGAAACTCCAGTTAAACAAGAGAGATAAATATTCTCTTCATATATTTGTTTGAATAGAAATTGAAGTTCAAAATTGATTTTCTTCAACTTTTGAATATTTTTGTAGGATTAACTACTAAGAAATATTTCTTATTACTCCTCGATTTTATTTTATATGATGATATTTGAATGGATCGTGAAGCTTAAGCAAGAAAAGAAGAGATTTTACACATACTAACGGTACTCTTAGAACTTGGGTCATATACATGCTATGATATTTTTATGGTTACTAGTATCTATGAACGTACGTTGCACGTTAATAATGGCACGTGATGGTTTAACCATTTAAATCATCTTAAAGCTAAAAAATATTATTACATTAGCATAATACGTGAATTCAAAATATAAGGACATCATCAGAACTTACACAAACGATCAATTTAATCATGTTAGTTAGATAATTACGTATTATAATTTAAAAGTATTTAATTTGATAGTATCTTACCGAACACTTCTTTGTAGATGATTTTTTTGTGTGTATGTTTCCTTCTAATGCTTTGGTTGCTCTGCCATAACCAGAACTCTTGTTGTCGATATTGATACTGCTCTTGAAAATGTAACATATAGTTGTTCGTGCAAGAAAATATATTACGATAAATATAGTTCAATATTTAGGATGTTCGTCCTTGTGCTTTATTTATTATAATTGCTAAACATAAACATACCGAAAAGTATTTTCACACAAATTTAAAAGGATATTCTTTAGTTTCGGAAGACGAAAGTTGAATTCGGGGATAAAAATATACTTAGAAGCACATTGACCAGTATCATAATTTTTGCATGTATGACGTTATTGTCAAAACTTCTATATACCATCTATGTGCTATTACATAAGTTATTCAGCGAATCTAAGTTTTTCAATAGCATGACGTGCATAGTTTTCTTCAAAATCAATCTATATGCAATGGAAGATCAATGTTAACTTAGTCTATTACATATACGGTAACACTGACATACATAAGAAAAAATAAACTTGACAACAAACATGTGTGGTAGAAGGCCATTTGGTATTAAAGTATTTAAGTATTCTTTTTAGTAGTAATTGTTGGGATCATATTCTGCTGAGTCAAAAACTAAAAAATATCTTATTTTTACCATAAAATTTCGCAATCAACCTATTATTTAGTTGATCAACATTTTCATTTCTGCTAACTAAGATAGCTTTTTAATTTCTATCATGCAATTTGCACAAATTGCGTTTTAATCTATTGATAGAAATATTTTCCTTATTAAGCACTACTATTAATTGGGATTGATAACCAAATGTTCTGGAAGAGCCAAATCATCTTTATTAGATGCTCTTCTTCGTTTGAGGCAAGAAGTTACTGAATACTGGATCTGTTTTTACTTTATATTTCTTGTCAGTTGAATCTTTTTCATTTGAGGCTACAAGTATAATTTTGGCAAGCAAGTTTTTACGGTCTCTCCCTTCGTCGATTTTGTAACTATTGATAGTACTTAGCAGAAATCATCTTCTAAGTCATTAGTTTTTCACAAATGGTTCACTGGTATTCAATATATCTCCAGGGGCAATTGTTTCAATCATTTAACACTTAGCCATAAGCGCTTCATCCCATATTATCAATTTTGCTTTTCTTATGAATTTAGCATTGTTGCTCTGCTTTGATATATTAATGATAGTTATTTTAGTTGTTTGAAGAGATATATCAAATCTAAAGTGAGTGGCCTCATATTAAAATCGTTGCCGGTACACCATTTGTTATTATTGCTAACAATATCATGCCTCTTGATTTGACATTTTCAAGTAATGCATGACATAAAAATATTATTTCGATTCCGTTAGAAGCATCTACAAAGGATAATCCCGCTATAAGAGTCGACTCTTTATAATATAGTCTTGAAAGCTTGTTCTTGTTCAGGATTTAGCTTTGATTGTGCTTCAACATACACTTGTGTGGCTGTTTGATTCGTAATACTATAATAACATTTTTTACTTTGTGTTTTAATTTTTTTAATCTCTAATGCTCTTTTTATGGAATAAATTTATGTACCCTAAGATTTTTCTTAACTTGAAAAATAATTTTACTCGTATGATAAATTTAAAAAATAATTGAATTGGATTCTCTTGCTAAATAATTAATTGAAAGATTTAATTATTTGGTCTTAACACAAAAAATAATTTATTTTATGTTGATTCAGAATCTTAATATTAGTTCATCTCTTGTTTTGAAGATTTAATCTTAAATTATAATTTTATCCACCATAAATTTTCTTTTCAAAGAGTAAAATGATCGATTTGATATTCTACTTTTAGATCTTTATGTTTGTAGAATCATTAGTGGTATTGACTCTTACCAACCTTTTTTCTTTCTATTTCTCACACATTTATATTTTTAAATATTTTCTTTGTTGTTGTTTAATAATTGGGTATATTTTTCTGTCACGACCCAAAATTCACCTAGTCGTGATGGCACCTAACACAACCCGTCAGGTAAGCCAATTAACAACTAACCAATTTAAATGAAATTTATTATGAAAAGAAATAAAAATACAACTGCTTTTATATAAGAATTTCCCAAGGACTGGTGTTGATACCAAATTTTTCTCTCATATTTTCAAATATATATATATATATATATATATATATATATATGCATCATCATTTAGTTTATAAGCATACACAAGCATTTTTCATAATTTTTAAAGGCTTTAAATCAATTTATTTCTGTATTTTTTATTATATAAATATCTAATAATTACCCTCCAAATTATTTTTATGATGATTTAATCATCTAAACTTATCATTTATACCAATATGAGATTTTAAATCAGGGCATTTCTTATAATTACATTTGTATTTTTCAGGGCTAAATTGCATATTTTGTAATAATAGCCCATATGCATGTATAATTATATTATTTATGCAGAAAATAAATTTTTATATTTTTATAATATTAAATAATTGTTTTTAATCACTTTCATGCATAAATGATATTTTAGTTTTTTATTTATTATATTTTTATAAATTATTTATTTGTTAAAATTGGGTATTTAAAATCTAGCCCTAAATTCCTTCTAATTTCGGACCTAACTACCCAAACATAGCCCAATTACCCCTGGCCCAAGACCAATTAACCTAACCCCATACCCGGTCGCGACCCGTTTAACCACCCGACCCAAAACCCTTTTAAATCGTAGCCGTTGTTCTCTGAGATCAACGGCCCACTTTACACCCTCCCTTTTTAATTATACCCAAACCCCCTAACCCTAAATTATTCCTCACTGCCCGCCGCCCTTGAATCCTCTCATCTCTCATCTCTCAAACCCTAGCCGTCTTTCCCCCAATTTTCTCTCCTAATCCCATCGGACATGGGATTATATTGCTGTTTCTTGCCATATTCTACTTCCCCCTGGTACTGGAACCTTCTATATACCGCTTGCCTAAATATGGCAAGCGGATCTCATCAACTTCGAACCAAAGTTGGTTCAGTTCCTTGACCTTTTCCTTCTATGTTCATTCTTGTTCTTTTATGGTATGAATCTCTATGTATTTCTGTGATTCCTACTCATCCTAAAATTAGGGTTTCAGATTCTTTTAAATCGAACCAAAACTGGTTCGATTCTTTGATTTTAAAAGGTATTTCTGTCTATGTTCATCTTATTCTATGCAGCATGTGATTTTTACCTTTTATTTATTTTAGATTTCTGCCGATTTGTGTACTTTACCTAAAATTAGGGTTTTGAAATCTTCTCTTTTCCTTACTGATTTCGATTTTTTTTCTTTCTCGTGTTTGATTGATGATTTTCCTTGTTTGGATGTTAATTTCTACTACTATATAAACCCCTTCCATTCCCCTTTGAGACAGACTTGAATCGTTAATGTTTACTAAAAAACTGAATTTATCGCTCTTTGTTCTCTAAATACTCTTGTTCTATATTCTGGTTCCTGGCCGGCTGAAAGCCAAGGCCAGAAATTCTGGGTTCTTGCTACTGTGGACTTTGTTCTTTCTTGGTTTTTGCTTAACTAGT